TTTACTACTGATCTAGTTCTAATCGGTTCTGACGTATATTAACTATATATAGTTGTTAAAACACAATATTTCCATCAATTTTCAGAAAAAATTCTAGAGTTCCGTTATAATTATGGAAAATTGCCAATAAACGATCAGAACAGATCATATTGTTAAACTATAATGTTCATTTCACCTAAAAAACGTATTAATATTAAATCTTATTCAAATTTGGACGAGCAATTGTGATTTTAAGATTTAAGATAAACATTTATATTTTATAATACCGCAAGATTTATCATTTTAATATTTTTCGTCTTTTCATAATTCAATTTAACGGAAATATGTCGTAGTCAACAAAATATCATACAGAAGCTTTAATTTTTTCAAAGTTGTTTAACTACACCGAGTAGTAATTTATTTTCAATTAAACACCGCGGAATTATGAACATTTAAAGTAAACTAATCACATTCCACTTTTAACAAAAGCTATCGAATGATATTGTTTCAAAACGTCAAAAGTAATTAAAGCATTGCAAATAAAAAAATGGAAGTTTAAAAAATTCGTAAACAATATTTCAAGTCAGTTTGTTCAGTGGCGGATTAAGACTTCTTGGGGCCCGAGGCTATTTTTGTTTTTGGAGGCCTTTTTATGGGCCAGAGCCTAAAAATGACTAAAAAAAAAAAAAAAGGGTTCCTCTAAAATTTTTGAGGGCCCCTAAATTTGCGGGGCCCAAGGCTATAGTCCCCCTAGCCCCCCCCCCCCTTTGATCCGGCACTGAGTTTGTTGTTACTTTTTTGTTGTGCTTTTTTAACGACTTATAATAAATTTCTAGATTAGAATTGAATTAATAAATGTCTAGATAAGAATTGGTAGTACTATTGCTATATATTTTATGTCTCTTTATATTTTTGCCATGTATTTTATATTTAGAATAAAGCAATTTGCTTTTAAATCCAGCAATATTACTTCAGCACAAAATAAAATTATGGAGGGATTTAATAAGTTCCTGGCCGAAAGAACAGTCTTAAAGAACGTAACCTATAACTGAACAGGAAAGCAAAAAATAAGGTTCAAATAGGTAGTAGAGTGTATAAAACTTTATTCCTATAATTGAGGTACCCAAGATATTTATACCTATAAATGAGGTACGCAAGAAACAATTACTTCACCTTAATCATCCTACCATCTTAATCAACCTACCATCTTTAATCATCCTACCATCTTTAATCATCCTACCATCTTTAATCATGCTACCATCTTTATAATTTTATCTTGAGATTATACTCTCAAATTGATAACATAATATCAAATTGATATTTGCAGAAAAAATATTACACAAATTGGACACTCCATTTGTAATTATACTCCTGAACAAAAATTAAAACTAAAAATCTATATGTAAAATAATTTTTTAAACTTTGTAAAACACCAATAATAAATAATTTCCAAAAATAGTTTAAAGAAATTATGAAATATAAGTAATCTAATTAGAAAATGTTCTATTTTCATTCAATTTGTACATTTATTTCATAAATCTACTCACACTGTAATTTGCATAGATTGTTGAACAGCCTAAGTTTAGATATGTTTTAGATTAAAAAGCTAACCTCAAATAAATCTTAAACCAATAGAATAAATTTATTCTTAAAACAATATAATAACTTAACCTTAAACCATTAGAACTACTATATACATCTACACCTTAAAAAACAACAACAACAAAAAAATAAATATTGATTATTGATATTTTTATAAATTATTTTCATATTTCGAATAAAATTTTGCTATGCTATATTTTTTTATGAGGCTAATATGAAAATATCTTGAAATGATATAAATAGAGTCCAAGTCTAAAAATATATATAAATTAATTTGAATAAATATAACATTTGTTGCTTGTACTCAGTGGCGTAGCTACATATTTAAATATGTAGCTACACATATGTGTTTAAGCAACAATTATTATATTTATATGCTCCAAGTGCTAAATATTTAGCTAGTTGAGAAAGTCATTCATTTGTTGTCACAGAAACTATGCAAGCATTGCATGGGGTAGTACAAATAAAAATAAACCTCTTTATTGTCAACAGAAGCATGTAGCACATCTTATATTATTTAAAGACCGTTATACTCGTGCCCAGACTCTTGACAATTGATGCCAAGACTATTATTTGAAATGAAAGTTTTTATTCTTATCGAATATCCATAAGAATGATCCGTGATAATCGTTAATCATCAGTATTTTACTGAGGATCATCAAAGTAACTATTTTATCGCGGTAATCGGTTTTATCGCGGTAATCGATATTAATCACCAAAATTTTACTGAGGATCATCAAAACTATTTTTCTTTTAAACGAAAGGTTAAAGAACTCATTTTTACAATCGAAGATTTAACAATATACCTCTGATATTTATTATAAACACGATTTTATAAAAATTATATATGATGATTAACAACTGTAATCTACATATGAAGACCACACGGGTAAAACCACAGATGTCCACTTTTTGAAAATTTCAGTTTAAGATATTTATTATGATATATTGGTATAAAGCTATTCTAATTTGAAAATTTATAACAAAAAAAAAAGGTTATAAGGTTCTTTGATCATTTCAAAAAAAGGGCAACTTTGAAACAACTACTGTTGTTCAACAATTTTGTTTTTAATCATTAGGTGTAACTTGTAATTTAGATGTCCTAAATAAGATAGTTTCTTATTTTGTGACCAAACAAAGTAAAAAATAAAGATGGATGTGTATTTCAGGCACTACCCTTAAGAAAAAAATAAAAGTAAAAAATGAGTTACATCTATCTTTTAATACCATGTTATAAGCATTTAGATTAGAGTTGACAAAGTTATACTAATATTAGTTAATAAAAAATTTATTTTGACCACAGTTTCTTCAAGAAATCCATATATCCAAAAATCGGTACTTAAAATTTTTTATAACTTTTTTTGGAAATGTTCGATTTTTATAATTTTTTCAATTTTTAAATAATTCTTGCTGATATATAACATTTATGATATATAACACCTAGAACTTGATTAGCTTAAAAATTTTAATCCTACTAATATAGCAGAAATATCATGATTATTTGAAATCGGGAAGCTGCATAAGCGCGAATTGGCATAAGTGCGGATTGGCATAAGTGCGCTAAAACATTTTGCAAACATTGGCATAAATGCGAACTATTATAAGTGCGATCTGACGTAAGTGCGAAGCAGTTACATAAACTCGAACTGGCATAACTGCGAATTGGCATAAGTGCGCCGAATAAATTTGCTAATATTCGAATTGGCATAAGTGCGAACTGACATAAGTGCGAAGCAGTTGCAATTACTGGCACAAGTGCGAACTGGCATAAGTGCGAATTGGCATAAGTCCGAACTGGAATAAGTTAACCACATGGTAAATGCATGGAACGCACTTTCATCAAATACAGCCTCAATAAACTCGTATTCTTATTCAGTATGGTATTTTTTTTTTCTAGTTATTTTATTAAATTATTTTATTAAAATTTTAATTATTAAGTTACTTTATTAAATTTTTGTTATTAATTGCGTTCCGATTGTTAATTTTAAAAAATACAGTAATTATAATCAATTGAAATTATTATACTAAATTTTTTAATATAAAAATTAAAGCTAATATTAAAATTTTGGCGCCAAACCAGCCAATCCAACCAAAACTGATAAAAAATGTTTTAATTAACAAATAATTTATATATAGTTTTTCTTAGCAAACAATTAACTTTAAATTTTCAAGTGCAATGGACAGCAATTACTCTTAGTTTGTTTGGTGTAGCGGCTTTTTTTGTTTGTTGGCGGCTTAGGTTGAAAATTTATAATATTGAAAAATTAATGAATTAAAAATAATAATAAAAACAATAATGAAACAAAACAAAAGAGTTTCGAATATATATGCATATATATATTTTTTATATCTTTTATTTTTTTTTTTTTTTACTTTTTGAACTTCATCTTCCTAAAAGATTTTGTTTTGTTTTAAAATCGTAAAGATAAAAGTTGAAAACGCTTCTTCTGACTTAAAACTGTGAGCAACCATGAGTACCTTTTTAAGATTTGCAATAACAAATTTCACGTTCCATTCACGCAAAAAACTTTTTGTCTGTTTTTTACAAAGATATATACTTATATATCATTGGTTTTTAAACATTCCTTTCGTTTTAGAACGTTGGAATTTCTTAAAAATTAATTTCAGAATTTAAAGAACTTCAGAACTTAAAGAATTCAGAACTTAAAGAATTTCAAGTTAAGAATTAAAATCAAGTTTTACAACTATCTTTAAATAAAATATTAGCGACCTTAAATCTGAAAAAAAAATTAAACTATCTTTTAAATATATATATATATATATATATATATATATATATATATATATATATATATATATATATATATTATATATATATATATATATATATATATATATATATATATATATATATATATATATATATATATATATATATTATATATATATATATATATATTATATATATATATATATATATATATAATATATATAATATATATATATATATATTATATATATGTATATATATATTATATATATATAATATATATAATATATATATATATATATATATATATATATATATATATATATATATATATATATATATATATATATATATATATATATATATATATATATATATATATATATATATATATATAGTATATGTAATATATATTAAAATGAGAAACCTTAGAATAAAATACGTCGATTTTGTTGTTATAAAATGTTGTTCGTTCAATTACTAACGGGTTGTCGATGCAAGCGTGAGTATTTAACACGATTTACACATTAAAAAATAAGCCACCTGTTGCCAAATTTAATTATGGCGACATTTAACTTTTTATTGATTTAAAGAATTTTGTAAAAACAAGTTATAACCAGTTTTTACTTGCTTATACCCAGTGGTGCATAACAATTGGTTTATAAATCTTACGCTCGATACGACCAAATTAGATTTCTCATAGTTGCAGTATCATCGAAAAAGACGTTATGTTTCCTTACATGGTTTTAATACTATTTTTCCTGCGAGTTACAATAGCCGATGTAGGAGCCAATGGCATACCTTTAAGTTGTAACGGATCTCAACCAGCAGTAAGAATAAACGGTATACTTATGAGAAGCCAGGCATGCGATGTAAAATCAGAGCGAAATTTCATTGGTTGCAATAAAGATATGTTACAAGATTCAATATTGAGAGCGTGTCCAACTACAGTGGTAAGCAAAATATTAATATTTCTGTTAACGTAAATGTTATTAAAAATAAATTTTTTTCCGTTTTTCTTAACGTAAATTTTGTGATTCACAAAAGTTGTATAGTTAGCCATTAATTAAAATTATAATCTCTTTTAAAGCAATTTTTTTTTTATCGTACTTATTATATTTTTTGGGATTTTTTAGAATTTTGTTTTGAGCTTTTGTTTTTAATTAAAAGTTAAAAATTTAGTTTAAACCTGTTTTTATTGTATCTTGCTTCGTTAAATATGACCAAGCGGATTTGATTTTTTTAATTCGAATGAAATAAATCACACAAAAATACTCTATTTAGCAATTTAAAATAAGAAAGCTAAACAAAGTTATAATCGACTAACAAAGTTATTAATCGACTTGTATAAATTTATTTTTTGACTTAAATTAAATTTTTTTGTTGACTTTAATTAAATTTTCGTTAAATTAAAATTAAAAAACAAACTAGCAAAATAAAAATTCGTTAAAACACTTGTGTTTTAGTGAATTTTCTCATTCATTTAAAGTTTAAACACTTCTCGTTAAAAACACTTTCTCGTCAAATAATAGTTTGCAAATAATTAAACTAGAGTTTTTTTTTTGTTTTTTTTTTATAAAAAAAAAGTCTTCATAACACGTATGTTAAAAACATTTGTATCATTTGGCTAGGTTCAAGACTTTATTTCAAGAAAATAAGTAGTAATTATTTTAAATAAGTTTTGATGACCGTTTATTCTCAATTTAATTGTTTTTTATTTGTAGGTTTTATATTTATTTGTAGGTGTTATCCGGTATATTTTACTATATTTTAGAATTAAATAGTTCCTAATTTAACTAACTTTTAATGACCGTCTATTCTGAATTTATTTATTGTTTTTTGTAGGCGTGTTATCCGATATTCAACCTTCTTCAGGAATTAGCGAGTAAAGCTATCGAAAATGCACAAAAAAGAAAATTATTTTTAAAATACTCCGAACAGGCTGCTAAAATGATATTTGACATACGTGGCGACGAGTAAATCGCATTGTTTGTAAAAGCTGATTCTAACGTTAAATACGTCTGAACATTAAAAATCATATGCTATATTCTTTTTTATTCTATGTAAACGATATTTTTATCAAAAACGTATTCTTTCCAATTTATGAACGAAAAATTGTTTCTCTTATTACACTAAATAATGCGTGCGTGAAATAATAATACAAAAAGTTTGTTTGTTTGAGATGTAAAAATATTCGTATGTGTGTACGGCTGTTGATGGTCTGGGCTGAGTATCGGCGGACGTGCATTTCAGGCATCTCCTTTGGAAAGTCCGTAAAATAGTCTTAAGAGCTGTCCAAAAAGGGTGTCATCTTTCTTTAGACAATTGTTGACTCCCTCCCCTTTGTCACCTGTTTCTATACCCCCCCCCCCCAATCCTTTATAATGAAGTTTCAAATTAGGACCCACCCCCCTTCTTTATTATTCAAATAGAAATTTTATTATTTAAATATTATTTTAATAGTATTTTATTTATTTTATTTAAATAGAATTATTATTATTTAAATAAAATTTTATTTATATTATTTAAATATTATTATTTAAATACAAAATTCTAGATATAGAGGACTAATTTGAGAAATAAATATATGTATTCCCCACCCCTACTTTGAGACTCGTGTCGTCGGCCAAGCTTATTGGGTATTCCATGTTTGCTTCTATATACTCGGTTATATAGAAGCAAACCTGGAATACCCAAGTAGTTATTGGGTATTACAAGTTTGGTTATATACTCGGACCACTTCTTTTCTTAATCTACACCAATGATCTCCCTAAAGCGTCAAATTTAATGACTATCATGTTTGCTGATGACACTTATCTCTTTTTATCGCACAAAAGTATTCTAACATTTCAAGCTAAGAATATTGAATTAGCGAAAAATTGTGAATGGTTTAAAATGTATAAATTGTCACTAAATGTGGCTAAAACGACATGGTCACTATTACATCCAACTTCTAAAAAGAAACTATTGCCTCCCAACTTGCCCTTACCTTTTATAGACAAAATACAAATAAAAAGGTAAAAAACATTAACTATTTAGGTGTCCATGTTGATGAAAGCCTTAGCTGGAAATATTACACTAACTTTTTGGACAACAAAATTGCTATAAGTATAGGAGTAATGTATAAGGCTAGCCTTATACATTACTTATAAATGCTTTTAATAAACGAAGTTAAACGTAATTATATTTTTCTTTTATTCCTTGTCATTTAAAACATGCAAATATTACTTGGTATAGTGCCAATAAAAGTAAACTGGAACCTCTTTATCGTTAGCAGAAGCATACTACTCGTCTTATCAATTTTAAAGATAGTTTACTCATGCCAGGCCAGTGTATTTAATCTCTTTGTTTTATGTACAAATGTAAAATAAATTACTCCCAAGTTTCTGTCCATAATTTATATACCTTGAAAGATAAAAATAAATACAATTTGAGAAATTTAGTTCGGCAACCTTTTGTTAAACTAATTTTGGGAAAACAAACATTGCATTTCGCGGAAACTCTCTTTGGAATAAAATAGTTTTAAAACGTTTTGGTTTTTCTCTGGAATGGAGTTACCTCTCATATAAAAATAAACTTAAAGAAATTATTTTGTCTCTTGATAATATATTTTTATATTTTTAAACGCCTAATGATTTCATTTACTATGTGTTTATGCCGTCTGGTTTTTATGGAGATAAACAACTATATTTGATTATGATTTATTGAGATTGTAAATTACGAGCGGTTCTCGATGACAAGACTTGACGGTCTTCTGCGAATATCCGCAATTTTTTTATAAAATTAAATACCTGTATAACTATATTATCTTTTACTTAGTTTTTATTGTATGATTTTATTATTTAAATGTTAACGATTTTATTGTACATTGATTTACTATAATATTTAAGAAAAGAACAACAACAACAGCAAAAATGATTTGTATAGGGCAGTCCGATTTGTCTGAAATAGTCTCATCATTTGGAGAATTAAAGTCCTTTGTTTTAATTTCGTCCTCATCGAACCGTTCAGCGAAGGCCGCGTTCCCTTCTACCGCAATTACGGCTATCATCTCTCTTATACTTCTTTTTTGTTCTTCACGAACAAGTCTAACTCGCAAAAGAGTAATAGCCATTTGGTTAATAAAATTGAATGAATAAATCGGACATGCTGACATGACTTCTGACTTTTTTAACATTACTTAGGAGGCAAAGCATAAGTTACAATGATTCTGGTGACATCTGACTGATTCGTGCTGTTGACATCTGACTGATTTGTGCCGGTGACATCTGAAACGGCTACAGCTTCCAAGTTATCTTTTGATTGTCAGATTGGAATAGGTGGAAGCTATTCCAATCTGACCAGAAATAACATGGAAATAAGAGCTCTTTTTCAAAGAACAACATCTGGGATTCACAATTTGCGTGAAATATTCGCTGGTGTGCACATGAGAGATTAACCATTTCTAATCCGTAGATAAGAAATGACGAGCATGTTGACTTCATAAGTTGACTTCATAAAAACACTTATTTACATAGTTTTCCATGTTAAGTAAAATAAAAAAATTCTCTAACATTCTGTTCTTTTCTGATGACTTCCCCTCCCCCATGTTTCTTTTTGTCCTTTTTATCTTGACTCCTTTCCCTCCCTAGCATGACTTCCTTTATGGATGGCTTCTTATACAAGACGAATTTTTTTGAAAACCATACCATGACTCCTAGGGTTTGGCTTAGGATATAGCTTTGGGTTAGAGTATGGTTTTTGATAAATGTTTTGCGTAAAACGTGACTCGTTTTTTACCGTTTTTACTAGAGGAAGTTGCCTGAAATACATATGAACCCTAACCCTAACCTTGACGAGTTTCGACAGACCAAGATCCAACATGATCCAAAGGGTTTGGTTCTTGTATCAACGGATCCTACCTGAATCAATAACCATTTTACTTAACAGTTCTGAATCCAGAAACATCTCGGTCATGCCAAAATAAGAATAAAAATAATGCGTTATTAGGTATGTGGTATCAAATGCGTGGGTCATTATGGTTGTTAACAGTGTTAATGGAACATCCCTAAAATACCTACACAGGGAAACCACTAATTTAAAATCTCGCTTCCCCCATTGTACGAACCTGTAGGCTTTTAGCAATCCTCTACCTCCGTACGCGTTATTTATTACAAAATCAACCCACATTTTCCCCGCGATTAATGAAACTTAATGTTTTTATTTTAAAAAAATAAGGTTTTAGGAGATAGCCATTTAGATAACGTATATGCATCATATATGTACTTGTTGTTTTTAACCACCACCCTTCCTTGAAAGAACTTGTATGTTATTGGCTAACTCCCCTCTCCCATGACTATGCACGTACTATATATGAGGCCCCTAAGGGGTAATTTAAGTTGTATTTCTCAGCATTCAACGAATAAAATACTTTAAAACTAAGCAGTACTATGTTAGCCATACTATCCCTGATAAAATCCTATCCTTTGGAAAATTCAATTCAGAGAAAATTCAATTTACATGTTTACACTGCATCTAGTTTATTTAAAAAAATATTTCTTCATAAAATAGGTACAAAAATAATTTAATTTCAGAAATAATTTTAATCTAAAATTTTTCCCCAAAAGAGTTTAAACTTATGTACAATGGCCACCGTTTATGTACGGAAGAAAATTGAACTCCTAATCAAATAATTGCAATGGATATTGATAATCATACCTCAAAAGATGAAGCTGAGGACGATCCAAATGAAACTGAGGACGATCCAAATGAAACTGAGGACTATCCAAGTGAAACTGAGGATGATCCAAATGATTTTAACATCTATGGCGTAGATATTAAAGGCCCTTTATACTACAATTTAAATAATATTGTTGTAAACTCAGTTAGTATTCCAAACAGCAATGATATTAAAGCATTTTTCAAATATTCAATTGATATATCTAAAGAATCCACTGAAATAACAATCAATATTTGCACAGAAGCCTTAATCCTTGTAGTAGAAAAATTTGAATCTTATTTATAAACCCAACTGGATTTAGTTTCTTGTTTTATTTTATTTTGTATTACTTGGTTTGTTAATATGTACCAAAAAATTTGCTCGAGACATAAAAACGGATATATTATTTACCTTGTATTATATAAATTTATTATTTCTTAAAATTTCTTACAATTACTATTTATACAACTAAATATACACTATACAACGTAATAATCTAAAAAATACATTAATAGACAAACAATTGAAATCCATTTTATTGAAAGATTTCATTCGCCTTTGGTGGTACGTCTTAAAGATGGTGGTACATCATAAAGATCGTGGTACATCATAAAGAAGAACAATTTCTTTGGTGGTACATCATAAAGAAGAACGAAGAAAAATAAAACTTCTGATGTTTTCCGATAGTGCTTCTAAATCTATATGAGAAAAAAAGAAAATAATTTATTCAAAGGTAAAGTTCTTACTTAAATCTAAATCAGTTAAAAATGACACATACCACTTCCACAAAAATATTAAAAGTTTCAATTGAGTTAGTTTTACCTTATTGTATTCTTTGTCGCTGATTTAGTAAAAAACTTAATACTTTGTATAACACTATATAACTCGATATGTAAAGCAAAGAATAATAACAATATAAAGAATTCTAATTTTTGTTTGTTTAAAGAGATTTTTATTAATAACAGCTTTAATATTATACCACACCCACGCTGAACCAGATTTTAGTTTGATGAAATGACATAGGGTTGTGTCATACTTTTTTGAAATTGTTAGAACCATACCATTATGGGAAAGTTAGTAAAAAAAATCATAAAACTAATCTTTAAAAAATACTTGGGTTTATACTGGGGTCAAAACGGTTCCCGAACTTTGGCCCCCCTCTGGTTGATTATGAGACTAACCCGAGGGGGGAAAGCAACTGTTTTATATTTTGTTAAATAATATAACTAGTTATTAGTTGCCCCTTCTAGATGGTCTAAAAAACATCCCGAGGGGCACCAAAGTTCATCACCTATTTTGACCCGTGTGTATATAATCATTATTAAACTTTATAAATAAGTTTATAAAGAACGAATAATATATTTTACTTAAAACAAAATGTTAAAAGTCACTTTGTCAATCTAGTC